TTTTTATCTCATGTGTACAGACCGGGCTGAGCTTGTCGAGCAATTTTTCGGCATCTAGCAGCAGGACTGCCCAGTCGCAGTCGATCCAAGATGTTGCTTTGGCCTTGGTGAGACGGAGGAGGGCTGCACGCAGAGGGTCGGATCATCCCTCCTCCTCCTCCTCCTTCCCTCCTCCTCCTCCTCCTCCTCCTCCTCCTCCTCCTCCTCCTCCTCCTCCTCCCTGTTGGCTCCAGTTTGTGCCTATGCTGTTTGCTACTGCTGGTAGAGCCTGCAGTGAAGCGGCGACAAAGACAATTGAGGGGGGGGGGGCAAGGTTCAAATAAGCAAAGATAGTTGGCAGGTGGCGCTGTCTCCGTGGACACCCAGCGTGCGCCCTGCCAGACGAGCGGGACCGATCTGCTTAGATACCCTTTCGTATTTGGGTCGATCCTGCTGTTCAGCATTCAGAAGCCCCCCCCCGCGTGGCGGTCACGCGGAGACTTGTAGAAGTCCTGGGGTAAGCACGAACGAGTTCGAGAGCTCTCGAACGCACCACAGCGAACACGCCAGGCGATACGCCTCCCTCCCCCCACCAGCCACATCTTGTGAGAAGAGTGGCTGCTCCGCGCAATGCGTATGCAGTCCACAGCAGGGAAACACAGTGACTGCTGGCGGGTCATCCCTCATTCGCCGCAGCGCAAACACATTTAAACTCCTTGGGACACACGCTCTATGGCATGGCCCCTGGGATGTGAAACCAACTCGAGCAGACACGGCTTGGTCCGACGAGGCCGCCGACTCCAGGACACGTCGTGGAAATCCTTGGCCGCCACATCCCCCAGTCCTTCGGCGGTCGGCCAAGCAGGCTGCTGAAAAAGAGGCTCCTCTCTCCATTCTCCTCCTCCTCCTCTTCCTGCTTTGCCTTTTCTTCGACATGCTGTTGGGCCGCAGTGGCTCGCAGCGTCAGCGTGCGCGGCCGACCCCGCGCAGCCAGACCACGCTCGACGAGGGCAGCAGAGCGCTCCCGACGCAGCCCGCGCCTGGCAGCAGGCCGGCCGACGGGCACGGGCGCGAGTGCTCCAGGACGGCAGAGGCGGAGGCTGCGACCTGGACCAGGGGAAAAACACAGCGAGGACGGCGTGTGAGCGCCTGCTTCCCGAGGAAGGCCACGAGGGACCTCCTCCTCCTCCTCCTCCTCCTCCTCCTCCTCCTCCTCCTCTATCCTCCTCCTCTATCCTCCTCCTCTATCCTCCTCCTCCTCCTCCTTCTCCTATTCCTCCTCTATCCTCCTCCTCTATCCTCCTCCTCCTCCTCCTCCTCCTCCTCCTCCTCCTCCTCCTCCCTCCTCCTCTATCCTCCTCCTCCTCCCCTCCTCCTCCTCCTCCTCCTCCTCCTCCTCCTCCTCCTCCTCCTCCTCCTCCTCCTCCTCCTCCTCCCCCTCTATCCTCTATCCTTGAGGGGCCTGGCGGACGCGGGCGGCGGGGGGCTGGCCCCCCCCTCCGTCAGGAGAGCACCGCGAAGTCGCAGCTGGCGATGCTCCTCGCGCGGCCGGACGGTCTGATCGTGCAGGTGGGCCGTCGTCGTCGCTGTCGTCGTCGTCGTCGTCGTCGTCGTCGTCGTCGTCGTCGTCGTCGTCGTCTTCGTCTTCGTCGTCGTCGTCGTCGTCTTCGTCGTCGTCTTCGTTTTCGTCGTCGTCGTCGTCTTCGTCGTCGTCGTCTTCGTCGTCGTCGTCTTCATCGTCGTCGTCCTCGCCCTCGTCCTCGTCGTCGTCGTCCTCCTGCTCCTCCTGCTCCTCCTTCTGTTCCTCCTCTCGCGCTTGAAAAGCGCAGGCCTGCGAGAGCTGCTGGGTATGTCTACTCCCCCTTCTCCTGCTCCTTCTCCTGCTCCACCTCCTGCCTCTCCTGCTCCGCCTGCTCCTGCAAATGGTCTGGTGCAGCGTGGGTTGTTAGTAGACGATGCAGCGGGGTTCGAGGCTAATTTGTTTGTTTGCTTATCCTGCTCCTCTCTCCCTCCTTCCTCCTCCCTCCTTCTCGTGCCCCGCTTCGCATGTGCTGCCACCTGCGCTCGTTCCGAACCTTGGTTCGCCCGGTTCCCAGCGCAGTTTTGTTGTAATTGTTTCGTTTTGCGCTCTGCGTCTTCTCGTGCACACCGGCAGGAGGTAGGAGCCAAGCAATACGACGGCGTTTTTTTGTTCAGTGGCAGTGTTTTGCTTCGATGTTGTTTCGATTACCTCGATTTAGCCTCGATTTGGGCTTCGCTTCGGGATTTGATCTTGGCCACTGGGCCGTCAGACATCAGCCCGTGACGTAAAACCAGTCCCGGGGAACATGTCGAAAGAGCTGGGAGGCTCCGCCATGAAGAAATCAGAACGTTGTGGACCTGGGGAAGTAGAAGGGCCTCCAGGATCCCCCAGAGAATTTCCCCCTAGACCTCTGAGAACCCGCGTAGGATCCCTTGGCCTCTCTCATCCTTGCTCCGTCTTCCCACATCCTTGCTCCGTCCTCCTCCCTCTTCCCACCCTCCTTCCCCCTCTTCCTCCTCCTGCTCCTCCTCCTCCTCCTCCTCTTCCTCTTCGATCTACGAGGGCGACCGAGAGCTTGATCTACGAGAAGGCCTTCCAGAAGTTCCGCTGGCGTACCAAGATGTACAGTGCCAGTGACGCTCCTTCCATGGGCTCCGCCCAATTGTTCAACAGCCGTGCCCTCCCTGTCCTCAGCTACTTCGCCCAGTATGCGATGCTGTCCCACGAGTCCTTCAAAGTCGAGAATTGGGTCAATGCCTCTGTCTCGAGGTTCTCCAATGGTGCGTTCAGGGTCAAGAACTGGCCGAGGCTACGAGACCTGGGTGTGCACGCTCCAATGTCCATGCAGCTCACGATGATTGCCACGATCGTCCGAGCTGCAACTTCCACCTTCCACACGTTCCCCGAGATTCGCGAGCGCCTCCACCAGGGCCTCGACCAGTACGGAGACGACCAGACCCTGCTGGGCGCGGCTCGGGCCGCCCAGCATCTCTCACCGCCCTGGTGGAAGGCGCCGCCCTTCGTCAAGACGTTCCACCAGATCGTGTCCGCGGAGACGGACCACCGCTACTACTCGTCCGCGTTGCTGGCCCCTGCTCTCGAGGCTGCGGGGGCGGCGCTCGCAGCAGGCAAGCCTGCCCGTGTCCAGCGGCTGGCGTTTGCTGCTGCGAGGCACGCGTTGGGCAGGGACGAGATTGGTTCGTTCCTGACGAAGCGGATCAAGATCTAGCTGCCCGACCTCGAGGACATCTTCGAGAACGACTCTGAGGTGTTCGACAGGGTGAGACCGCCATGAAGAAGCTGCCGCCGTCGTGGGCCGCGGCATGGATGAGGACTCTGTCTTCTTCGTGGCTGACATGCAGGATCATCCATGAGTGCGGGCGCACGCCCTGTATCTTTCGGTGCGCCGCTGGCGCGGGCAACGAGAAACACTACCTGACGTGTGGCCCGCTGGCTGCTGCTGTGGCGGCAGCGACCAGATCCACCGTCCAGACCGAGGCTGTGGCGAACCTCGCGCTGCTGGACAATAGCAAAGAGAACATCGAGCGGGTGGTCGTCGCGTGCGGCACCTACCACGCGCTTCGCATGGAGAACAGCGTCGACGCGGAGACCCTGCTCTCGACGGCGCGGGCGGCGCTGCGAGCCTCGCGGACGATGCGCTGCCCGCCCCGTGTTCAGCGTGCTCCACTCCCCCGTGCTGGCGGAGCCCATGGAGCCGCTGCGCACCCACTTCATCAAGTTCACGTACCTCGAGCGGCCGCAGCGGCCTGCTCTCCACCCGCGGACGCCCCTGTGAGCAGGGGCTAGGCGCGGAGGCCGTGGCGCGGGTGCGCGCGGGGGCGCGCGGCCTGCGAGGCGGCGGAGGCAAGACCGAGCGCCTCGGCACGCTCGACTCCTCCTCCTCCTCCTCCTCCTCCTCCTCCTCCTCCTCCTCCTCCTCCTCCTCCCCTCCTCTTTTTTGCACTGGTCGATCTCAGGCTGCTTGGCTGGAGCGTTCGTGCTTGAAGAGACGTAGCACGTGGCCAACATAAACCATGCGAGCAACGAGCCGCGGACAGGTGCAGAACACATGAATTCAACTAGATATTGAAATTGATAGTGTCCTAGCGGGGCATACAGTAACCTTATCCGCGGCAGTGCAGAGTAGGGAGGAAGGTAACACCATACGGGATACAAAATACTTGATTTACTGTGAGGAACGTCCGAAAGGGTAGGAGTCTAACTGCAGTTGCAGGCGGCAGCGCAGACACACTAGCTGAGGCAAGTCTTGTCCAAGTTCCTCTGCGATGCTTACAGAGGGTGCTGTCAGTACTGGTACTCTTTCACCTCTTCATGTAACCTATCCTCCACCACCGCCCATAATCAGGCAAGGAAACGACACGTATGCGCAGTGCGTGTAGGCTGGCACGTGTTTTAGTGGCTGGCCTAGGTGAGGCAGGCTGCGACGCAACTGGTTGGGCTTGAACATGTAACGCAAGGCTAGCTCAAACTGTATTGGCTGGCATGTAACACAAGGCTAACTCAGACTGCACAAGGCTTGTTTCAGCATCTCAGTGTGAGGGCTGGCCTTGGGACCGTCCGGCCTTGAAAAAAAAACTGGCCAGCGCACGGAGTGGCAACAGCTGTCTATTATGGGAGTGTGCTGTTGTGGGTAGAACACAGTGGGATTGGCCCTGGGGGCTCGCTTCCTACCGACGGGCCCAAATGGCTTCGAACAGCGATCCTCACGTATATACTATTTCCAGGGCTGTTTGAATCTTTCTGGTGAGCCCCTTCCCGACTACTCCGTCCACACGCCACCTCGATTTCGGAACCCCTCCCAATTGTCAGTGAGGCTGGCCGGTTGGCCTTGAGAGTAGGGCAGGCTTGAAAGTGGGGTTGGAAACCGTGTCATGTCTGTCTGTTGGCTGGCAGCGAATAGACCCAGTAGACTGGCGCTGTGGAGGCTGTCATGGATGTGCTTTAACCTGGTCTGTGATCTGATGGCTGCTGGAGTGTGATGATAGAAAGGCTGGCGCAGACGGTACTGGGGGGCCTAAGTTGCGGACGCACGTGCTCATCTTCCACTTCCCGTCCAAACATACCCAATCCCCCCACCAACTATTTCCCAAATGTACGTGGCAAAGTGGGCAGTAAATGGCAGCAGTTGTAACATGTGTGGTGTGTTTTGAACATGTCCCTCCCGCTAGCCAGCAGTAGGCCCCCTCTTCGGTCTCGTACTCAGATGGGGTAAGTGAGATAGGGAAGCCGTGCTTGTATTAGTGTTTAGTACGAACGCTGTACCCCCGAGCCTAGGGGAACACCATGTGCAGCCCCGGGAAAGGCTGTAAGAGTTGCTTTGAGCACGTTTGGGAAACATCGAGGTGGAGGACTGAAGGAAGTTGCAGTGGCTGTGTAGGATTACTAATAGCGGGCGGAACGCCTTGTGTTAACGCCAAGTAATGGCGTGGTACGGGCGGTGCACCCTGACCTCCACGCTCGTGCGGGATGCGGGGGCAGCTCTTTTTCGCCCCGCAGAACCGTGACATGGACCGGAACCACCACAGACCAGGTCTGCCGCAGCTGGTGTCTTTCTTGTCACGGCAGTTCCGATTAGTGGAATGGGGCGGGGGGTCAGGCTCCCAGAGACCAGGACACAGATAAACCAGGACACGGGAAACCAAGGAAACGACACCTTTTCCTTCTCAGGCGCAGCTCTTTCGTCTCGCGACCGTGACCTGGACTGGAATCACCGAGCCGGGTCTGCAGTATAGCTGGTGTCTTTCCTGCCACGTCAGCTCCGGTTCGTGGAATGAGGCGGGGGGGTGGGCGTCCCCAGGTTTATGATGCTCCAACCTACTTTAGCCTAGACTATCAGAAAGAATTTCGAGCGCCAGAAAAATGCCCCCAAACTGAAAGGTTTTCACGTGTCGGGCCCTGGGAGACACTGTTTCGACACTCTTCCGACACTCCTTCGACACTTGTCCGGGTGCTCGAGATTATTTTTAGGATGTGGTCCTTATAGTACGATGGGAGCAGCATGCAGTGCCGTTTTTAATACATGATCCGCGTGCGGATCATTTATTAATTATCCCAGTGCGACCCTACCTAGGAGTTGGAGCCCCTAGGAAAGCAGCATTAGTGGTAACAGTAAAGCTAAGCTCAAGCTAAGCTAAAGCTAAACTAAATCTAAGCTAAAGCTAAGCTAAATCTAAACTAAAGCTAAGCTAAATCTAAGGTACAGCTAAACTAAAGCAAAGCTAACTCTAAGCTACAGCTAAGCTACATCTAAGCTAAAGCTAAGCTAAAACTAAGCTAGATCTAAGCTGCAACTAAGCTAACTCTAAACTGAAACTAAGCTAAAGCTAAGCTAACACTAAGCTAACGCTAAGCTAAATCTAAGGTAAAGCTAAGCTAAAGCTAAAGCTAAGCTAAAGCTAAGGTACAGCTAAGCTAAAGCTAAGCTAAATCTAAGCTAAATCTAAGCTAAATCTAAGCTGAGGCTAAGCTACAGCCAAGCTAAGGCTAAACTAAAGCTAATCTAAAGCTAGACCTAAGCTAAAGCTAACACTAAACTAAGCTAAAGCTAAGCTAAAGCTAAGCTACAGCTAAAGCTAAAGCTAATGCTAAAGCTGAAGCTAAAGCTAACGCTAAAGCTAAAGCTCCCAGGGGACTGGGGGAACCGCGAGGCGGATCCTGGGGGAACCGCCCAGGGCGGGGAGCACTGCCCGGCCCTTTAAGCATACAGGGTAAGAACCCTTCTAGGCAGAGCCTAGGTAGGGAAAAATGCAGGGATTTAGTATCAAGAACAACGATGAGTTCATGCACAACTTTATTCCTAACTTAATCATGCATTCAAAGTCCGATGCTTAAAAGATCCGGTGTGTTAAAAACTGCCCTGTCACCCCAGGCGCACATCCCCAAGCCAGGCCCCACCAAACCACCCAGTTGGGGGGGGTCGGGAAACATCGAAAAAACACGTGTGGAACCCTTTACCCCCCCCCAACCCGACATTCGGGTCTTCGGGTTGGGTTGGGGTGGTCTGGTAGGTAGTCAAAACCAAGTCCCACCACGCCCAGTCCTGCCAACGCCCGATCGGAGGCCACAGCGCCCCGTGCTGCGAGGCCCTCGGGGCGCGCTCGGCCGGGCGCCCCCCGGGCGGCGGGCGCGCCCGCCGCCGCGCCCCTCGCGGCCCGGCCACGGGGGCGCGCGGCCCCGCGGGCGCGCGAGCTCCCACGGGGGCGCTCCTCGCGGGGGCCGCCGCGCAATTAAAACGAGGCGAAGATCGGGACAAAATCGGATCGGGATACCTCGAAAACTCTGAGAATCGGCGGGTTCGGAGGATGTATTGGGCGCCGCGGCCGCTCCAGAGCGTTCCGGAACGCTCTGAGAGCGCTCCGGAACGCTCTGGAGCGATTCATCCCGATCCTAGCCCTGTTTTAGCAAGGCAGCCCCGCACCCGCGTGGTCGCGGCCGAGGGGCGAGGGGGGGCCTGACCGTGAGCTGGCGGCGCGCACAAAGGGGGGGCGGGGGGAGGGGGGAGGGCTGCTTCGAATGAGGCTGCTTCTGAGAGGGCGCCGGCCTCACATCTACAGATGAGGCCCGCGCCCTCTAAGGAGCAGGGGTGCTCCTCAGAAGCGCTCCCCCCTCCCCCCACCCCCCTCTGCGCGTGGCCGAGTGAGGCCGTGGACGCGGACGTGCCTCCCGTCCACGTTGTTTTGTTCTGCCTCGTTCTTTTTAACCTCGCTTGGGCCACTCTCTCTGTCGCACCCGGGCCGGGGCTCCCTCGGCCTCCCGCCCTCCTAGAAGGCCATGGCTGCCCACTCCGAGATGGGCGCTCGGCGCGCGCAACAGCAGGAGGAGGAGGAGGAGGAGGAGGAGGAGGAGGAGGAGGAGGAAGAGGAGGAGGAGGAGGAGGAGGAGGCGGAGGAGGAGGAGGAGGAGGAGGAGGAGGAGGAGGAGGAGGAGGGCGCGCGCAACAGCCCCCCACACAGGTGGGCGGCCCGTGCGCCGGCACCTCCATCGACGTGGGCGCCGTCCGCTTCTTCCAGGATAGGGGCATCTCGCTTGCGGACGAGGCGGGGGCGCCGCTCCGCGAGCAGCCAGGAGCGCCTCGATCCTCGCTCCTCGATCCTCGCTCCTCGATCCTCGCTCCTCGATTCTCCTCCTCGATCCTCCTCCTCGATCCTCCTCCTCCTCCTCCTCCTCCTCCTCGATCCTCCTCCGCCTCCTCCTCCTCGATCCTCGCTCCTTCTCCTCGATCCTCCTCCTCGATCCTCCTCCTCCTCCTCCTCCTCCTCCTCCTCCGCCTCCTCCGCCTCCTCCTCCTCCCACCATGTGGGTGCTCCCCATGTGGGCCGCACGCGCACCCATGTCTCGAAGTCGTTCAGCAGTCATCGCACACCCGCCAGCTCTGTCAAGCAAGCCGTGCGGGCCGCGCACGTCGAAATCCTTTGAGCAGCTCAATACAGAGGTCTTCAGCAACCTATAAAAACAGTTCGTTTACACTTGTTCAGGAGCGAGAAAAGGACGTACACGTAATTACATGAATCCACATGGTTTCGAGAGTACGCATTGCGGGTTTTTTCCAGTCTCGCGGCTGGTCTCGCGAATTGGAGGGCCGTGTTCATGTATGTGGATGGGCGCGTCCGTCCTTTGGGGGCTCCCTACCTGTGCCAGTATGTCTGCGCGTGCGCACTTCCTCATCGTCCTCATTTGCACTAGGGTCATCATCATCGCCAGCGTTGCCATCTTTACCGCCATCTTCATCACTGTCACCATCATCGTCGTCGTCACCATCCCCACCGCCGTCATCAACATGATCATTATCATCGGTTAAGGCGTCAACCCCGTCGTCCGCACCACAATCATCATCATCATCATCATCATCATCATCATCATCATCATCATCATCATCATCATCATCATCATCATCATCATCATCATCATCATCATCATCATCATCATCATCATCATCATCATCATCATCATCATCATCATCATCATCATCATCATCACCACCACCACCACCACCACCACCACCACCACCACCACCATCATCATCATCATCATCATCCATCATCATCATCATCATCATCATCATCATCATCATCATCATCATCATCATCATCATCATCATCATCATCATCATCATCATCATCATCATCATCATCATCATCATCATCACCACCACCACCACCACCACCACCATCATCATCATCATCATCATCATCATCAGCATCATCATCATCATCAGCAGCATCATCATCATCACGCCCGCCCCCGCCGAGGATCTGCATGAGAAGGGTCCTCGCGTCATTGCGCCAGTGGGGTTGTGCCAACAAGTTGCGGGTGGGTGGGAGGGACATTTGCCCCAGAATAAGGAGTTGACGACGAGCATTGGTGCTGGTCATGCGCGGTGCAGACTGGTGAATTGCACCACTAAGAACGTTCCCTTTGTCCAAAAAGAATGCGACTGTACCCACACAGCAAGACCCAGGTTATCGATACCCCTTTCGAATGCTAAAGTCAAAACGCTGCAATACTGCAAGGCCCAGTTTGGGCTGGTCAAGGGTCGCCGAGGCCAGAACAGCCTCTTCGTTCATTGCTCAGCGTTCCTGATGGTAGCACGATGACACTCAGTGTTGATTTTGATTCCGCGCGATAGTCCGCCCTACTTACCGAATATTAGTATCCCATCCGGGACGGTATCGGTTCCCCCGCCATCCTCTCCAACACAGAAACAGTGCGGTGCACATGCGTTTGCCTAAGAAGCTCGTTTTGTAGCAATACCTAGTACTGAACACTATGTGGGGCCAAACGCGTGCGCCCCCGCGCCCGCTTGTCAAAGTCATTCAGCCGCCAAGCTGGTTTCTCGCAACATCGCAATGATAGCATGTGTGTGGCACGCGAAAAGCTGTCAGATTTCTGCGCGCGCACTCGCTGATAATAGAAGGAATCCTGTGTTTCCCAGCCTTCCTGTGTTGGTTTCTGGTTTGGGCTAGAGCACTGCGGTCGCCCTCCCGCCTTCTTCCCTCCTCCTGCCGTCTGTCTCCTCTTCCTGCGCTGCTCCCTGGGTGGCTGCGAACTGTGAAACTTTCGTCACTTTCGTGGGCTACTGGGAGGCACGGCGGAGTAGCGGAGTACCCGAGACCTCGCAGCTCCTTCGGGGAGCTGCGAACTGCGCCAGTGTCGTCACGCTCGTGGGCTCCTGGGAGGCACGGCGGAGTAGCGGAGCACCCGAGACCGAGACTTCGTAGTTCCCTGGGTGGCTGCGGACTGCGGACCTGTCGCCACGTTCGTGGGCTCACGGGAGGCACGGCGGAGTAGCGGATCACCCGAGACCGAGACTTCGTCGTAGTTCCCTGGGTGGCTGCGGACTGCGGACCTGTCGCCACGTTCGTGGGCTCACGGGAGGCACGGCGGAGTAGCGGAGTACCCGAGACTTCGCAGCTCCTTGGGGGAGCTGCGATTTGCGCCATTGTCGCCTCGTTTGTGGGCTCCTTGGAGGCACGGGGGAGTAGCGGAGTATCCGAGACCTCGTAGTTCCCTGGGGCTGCGGACTGCGCAATCGTCGCCACGTTCGTGGGCTCCTGGGAGGCGCGGTGGAGTAGCGGAGCAACCGAGACCTCGTAGCTCCCTGGGGCTGCGAACTGCGCAATGATCGCCACGTTCGTGGGCTCCCAGGAGGCACGGCGGAGTAGCGGAGCAGCCGAGACCTCGTAGTTCCTTGGGGCTGCGAACTGCACATTTGTCGCCACGCTCGTGGGCTCCTAGGCGGCACGGCGGAGTAGCGGAGCACCCAAGACCTCGCAGCTCCCTGGGTGGTTACGAACTGCGCCATCGTCGCCACGCTCTTGGGCTCGTGGGAGGCACGGCGGAGTGGGGGAGTACGCGCATCCAGCCGAGACCTCGCGACTTGCTGTGTAGCTGCGAGCTGCGCAACTATCGCCACGTCACGTTCGTTGTGGGAGGCCCAGCGAAGGGGGGAGCACACAGACCGAGCCGAGACCTCGTAGCTCCCTGGAGGGTTGTGCAGTGCGCATTTGTTGCCACTGTCGTGGGCTCCTGGGAGGTCCAACGGAGCAGAGTGTCATTGCAGCGTCTTCTTTTGTATAGAGCATTCCTGTAGATAGTCGGCTCGCGTTGAGAAGGGTATGGGTACATCTCGAGTAATGCTGGTGTAGCGGTTCTGTCAAAAGCAGTCCATGCTGGCCACACGCGCGCGCATGCCGAACACATTTCACAGCCATCGCGCACCCGCCGACGCTGTCAACTATTTCCATGCTGGGCACGCGTGCGTCTTCGCGCGCGATCGCCGCTATCCTTCCAGCACCATGGGTTCTCTGGACGCTTCAACACATCGGTGTTCAAGCCATATTGAAAACCAATGGCTTGCCAAGCAACCATGTCAGACATTCATAACTTCTGCGACCGCACTTCCTCATCATCCTCACCAGCACTCGTTCTCATCATGGCCAGTTTCATCATTGCCATCGTCGTTAGCATCATCACCATTATCGTTGTCATTATCACCACCGTCGTTATCATCGTCATAGTCGTCTTCGTCGACGTCGTTGCCCTCGTCACCGTCGCTACTGCCATCACCATCCTGCTCATCGTCGTCGCCCATGCTGTCGTCACCACCATCATCCCTCGCCCGCCCGAGCCAAAGATCTGCATGAGCTGGGTCCGCGCGTCATTGCGCCACCTGGTATTCGCTAGCAAGTCCCAATGGGTAGCCGCACACGAAGCCTGTATGAGTTTTGCCAAAGCTGCGGGTGGAAGGTGGGATGGTGAAATGTTTGCGCGGGCAGTTGACTTGACGACATCAAGATCTTCATATCCAATTTCCTGTCGAAACGAGAATTGGAATCGATCCCCTGCCGAGGCCCGGACCTATCCCCTCCCCTCCACGGGCATTCTCTTCAGATTGCAGAAGCCTCTGGCCTGTGCCGCCGATCCAGGAAAATCCGCGACGCTCCGTGCAAACTGGTTACTCCCCACATGCTTCGTGGGGTTCTGGTTTTCTTCCCTGCCGCGCCGCACCCGCGACACACACACACAACTCACTCTTCGTACAGCACAGCTCAGCACAGCACAGCACATCACAGCACAGCACAGCACAGCACAGCTCAGCTCAGCACAGCACACAGCTCAGCTCAGCTCAGCACACAGCACAGCTCAGCACAGCTCAGCACAACCCAGCACGGCTCAGCTCAGCACAGCACAGCACAGCTCGTGGCACTTTCTCGACACCACAGGGGGTGCGCAGGGGTTGGTCTCTCAGCTCGGCCGCTATCCACGACACTGGCGCAAAGCCTAGCAGGCGTGGCACTTTCTCGACACCACAGGGGGTGCGCAGGGGGTGGTCTCTCAGCTCGGCCGCTATCCACGACACTGGCGCAAAGCCTAGCAGGCGTGGCACTTTCTCGACACCACAGGGGGTGCGCAGGGGGTGGTCTCTCAGCTCGGCCGCTATCCACGACACTGGCGCAAAGCCTAGCAGGCGTGGCACTTTCTCGACACCACAGGGGGTGCGCAGGGGGTGGTCTCTCACCGCGGTCCCTATCCACGACACTGGCGCAAAGCCTAGCAGGCGTGGCACTCTCTCGACACCAAAGGGGGTGGGCAGGGGGTGGTCTCTCAGCTCGGCCGCTATCCACGACACTGGCGCAAAGCCTAGCAGGCGTGGCACTTTCTCGACACCACAGGGGGTGCGCAGGGGGTGGTCTCTCAGCTCGGCCGCTATCCACGACACTGGCGCAAAGGCTAGCAGGCGTGGCACTTTCTCGACACCACAGGGGGTGCGCAGGGGGTGGTCTCTCAGCTCGGCCGCTATCCACGACACTGGCGCAAAGCCTAGCAGGCGTGGCACTTTCTCGACACCACAGGGGGTGCGCAGGGGGTGGTCTCTCAGCTCGGCCGCTATCCACGACACTGGCGCAAAGCCTAGCAGGCGTGGCACTTTCTCGACACCACAGGGGGTGCGCAGGGGGTGGTCTCTCAGCTCGGCCGCTATCCACGACACTGGCGCAAAGCCTAGCAGGCGTGGCACTTTCTCGACACCACAGGGGGT